AATATAAATTGTCGTCTGCGCTACATTTAAAATATTTTTCGATTTTTTTAAAACATTTTGTATGTAAAATTAAAAATTAAAAATTTGCTATTTGATACTTAAAAAAATCAAGATAGCTATTTTGTAAATCCAATTTTTAGAAAAAATATGGTGTTCAAAAGTTTTACTAAGGTTGAATCAATAATTTTTAAACAATTTTTAAAGTTTGTTTAAATTCAAATTTATTTCTTATTTATCAGTACTACAACGATTATCGATTTTGAATTATTTTTTTCCGAGAAATTTGGTATCACGAATAATAAAAAAAATATGATACTAAACAGTAATACAATATTAGGTACAATTGGTACAATGTACAATCAACACGTACGTATGCGAACACGACGTGATTCATATTTCGATGCTTGTCAAGAAAATATTATTTGGTGTTAACACGTTAAGTGCTTATAAAATAGTAATTTATGCGTAATAATATAATATCAATATTAATTATAAGTATACAAAAATAATATGATCATTGAATATTATTCAAAAATGACTGACCAGTTACCACCTCCACATGCGCTGGACTTCAATATTACTGTAATAATTTTGACAGTTATTCATCCAGCAAATAAATGCAAATTTCATTAGCAAAATTCATATTTTGTTTTAAACTCGATGAAATCATGTTTAAAACAGTTTAAAAAATCATTTAAAAAAACATGTTTTAAACAAAAAAAAACATGTTTTAAACGATTAAAACAGTTTTTTGATTTTTTTAAAAAAATCATGTTTTTTATCAACTCTATAATATTTATTATTACAAACACTTAACCGTCAAGTCGTTTTTCTCATTTTATTATCTATTTAAAATAATTTTTACACTATTTTAAAAAGAAAATTTACAAGTGTTTTTGAACATGGCTGGTTGTTTGCCTGACAGTACCGTTCACTGGCCTGGACTAACCCTCCCCTGATCCCCTGTTCCTCGAACAAGACCATGTTGTAATCGGTTAGCAACCCAAACGAAACTCCTGTATACCTCAACATTGCGTCGAACGTAAACCCTGGAGCTGTATAATAATACACGGCGTCGAGGTTGTACGTTGACATGCAGAGGTCGCAGAAGTTCTCCATCACGTCGGCCAGAAGGAGAACGTCAACCTTCAGGTATAGGTCGCTGTAGTCACCGAGGGTCTTGCAATTGAAATGCTCCCATACCTCCGTCGCGTGCACGTAGTCCCCATCACTTACATGCTTTTCAGTTAGCATGCTGTAAAACTCACGTTTCGGCGGTAGGGAGGTCTCCTCGAGCCTCGACCATTTGTCGGTATACTCGTACGGAAACACACCCTTTCTCGTTACGAGTGGCATGTTAGCGGGTTGGAATACCTTGGCGGTCTCACGGAACTTTTCAAACACACCGGGATTCGTKAGGAGGTTACCGACCAACTCTGCTAAGCTCGAGATGATAAACCGACACGAGTCCAAGAACCTCACACTAATGTCAGGCATGACACGCTTCGAGAACGAGATGTAGTTCTCTTCACTGTTGRGAATGACCGTTATCGACTCCTTATCGTAACCAAGTTCGGTTACGATAAAGTGCGCGTCATATTTCGAGAGATTGTGTAGAAAGCATGTTRAAAACTTGGGTGTGACCAGCTTGAGGTTACACTGAGAGCTGAGAGCAGAGCGTATGTCTCAGTCGTCCCGATAGATGACAGTGGTCTGGTACTTTACACCTGGTCTCGGTGAATGGTAATTTACRCATATCACACACACTCTTCACGTTATGTTCACGTATCGTAAATCGTCGGGCGATTCCGAACCGCGATATATGACCGGTGTCTGCGGTATGTCGTATTTCTCCAACAATTCTACAGGCACGTTCTCMGCCGCCTTGACAAAGTACCCGTAGCTCATCGGGTGATGTGTGTGTATTCCGTCAGTGCTCGCCCCCACACGCTCCGTCTGTTTTTCAATAAGGGCTTCAAAATCAGCGTATATCACAAACGGATGATGTTGCATGCTACCCCACCCGTTAAACTTGAGCACTTCCCTCTCCTTAGGCATAACTGGTAAAATCGGTTTATTCGGTCCGCATAACCTCATGTGTTGTTGGAGWGCCTCATTACCACGCAATTTATTTTTTTTAACCCGCTCATCGAAAGAGGTGAACCACCTCGTACAGATAAAAAGCCGRCTTTCATGTGATGTTTTCTGACTCCGTACCAGCCGTGAAAAATTAGATATGTATGTATAGTGCATCCTTTCCAAACCTTCAATCACGAGAAGGTCGAAATGATCTTCCTTCTCGTTCTCAATAACCTTGATTGGATACACTACATCCTCCTTACCTCAGTTTTCCATCCTTACTATCTTACCTCCCTTACCCACTTTACCAAGTTTCAATCCATATACATTTACCGACACCACCTTATTCTGTCGTTYAAATATATCGATTTCCGATATTGAAGTTGGGGAGGATAATTCGGAAAAATCGTATCGATGCTCCTCATTATAATAATTTTTCCCTACATGATTATGGTGACCTACTGGAACATGTTTGGCTMGAATAGACCACTTGRAACAGTCGTCATCGATGTTCATTGGATTTATGACGGCCTTTTTCCGTATGATGTTTTCAGGGAGTGGAATATACGAAGACCCCCCAAGAGGGGTATGTTCATAAATATCTAGCAGCAAGCCATCGATAGTGGATAGGGTGAAGCCCGACCCTTTTTTCATATACCTGTCCTCCTCAGACATTAGGGCCGCGAAGTCCTCCTCAATCATAGCACTCACATCACTATGAACATACACCTCCCTCGACACGGTTTTAAAAGCCCTATCCTCGGCAGGTAATTCTCTGTGTGCATATACGGCCTCCAACTTTAAATTATATTTGATCGGGTTAATATGCACACAATAATTGATTTTATCAATCAACTCGAGTTTAATCGATTTTAAAAACRCATGATAACTCACACAGTTCTCGGTATTAACTCTATAATACCATACTACAGTCCTATCTAGCGAAGAGTCAATTCTCTAATCAGTCCTCTAATTACTCTCTTCTCTTCAGTTCTTTACACATTAATCCCCAAAACTTCTTTATCTCCATAGCTATTTCTGTAAAAATTTYCCTTATAACATAATAGTAATGTTATTTCATTATCTGTCTAAATAGTATATACCTTATCTAACTTATTGCTTTCTTATTATTTATAATGTACAATATTTTATTTATAAATGYATGATATATAATTGTTGAGCTGTAATAGTTTCTGACTAAAAGCTAAAAAAGAAAAAAAAAGTATTAAAGCATTGCAACTCAATAAAAATAAATAATTGCCATGTTATCAGTGTTGAAATAGAAGAATCTTTTCCCGTTAAGTTGAAAAGTGGACATACAATACACACAGGACCACCACCTAGTTCTGGTATAATATTAGCTTACATACTCCGTCTGTTGGATGGCATTTTACCAGCGCCGAACGCAGGCTTGGACGCTCATCGATTGGTAGAAGCTTTCAAATTTGGTTACGGTGAGAGAACCYATTTAGGAGATCAAACATTTGTAGACGTGTCACAGGTACACAATATGTTGACACGTCAAAATATCCCTGACTAAATATTCCTAAACCAAAATATCCTCACAAATGTATTCCATGACAAAATATCCTGCGTAACTATTAATTAAAAATTTAAACCTTTTTATACAAGTTAGGTACATAATKATATTAATATATTTATATAATACAAAAAATTAGTTAAAACATTTWAAAAAATATTATATTGAAATGGTATGTTTCTTGCCTTTTGATRAATTCTAGCATTTTTTAATTAAATAAAAAGTGTTAGTTATGTAATTCGATTTAAGGCTGTAAACGACACGCACTGCTGGTAATGATATRAAATGAAACACTATAATAACATTATCAAAAAAASGAATAATACTATATTAGATTAAGTGCGATTATTTTATTACTTCTAATCGCAACAGTTATTATATTTTGTCGGGGATATTTTGACTAACCGTCACAGGTACACAATATCATGTATGAACGAGTTCATATATGAACAAAATATATTTTATTACATTTGAATGTAATGATTTTTTTTTTTAGATTTATGATAAAGTCAAATCGGATCGTTACATGGATAGTGTACGTTGTAAAATGTCTGACACTTTTACTTCATCAGATCCTAAATATTACGGCGCTGACTTTCATATGCCAGAGAATAACGGGACTGCTAACATAGTGGTAACGGATTCATCGGGAACTACTGTCGTGTGCACTAGTACACTAAACACATTGTGAGGAATAATAATTTATAATCTAAAACCGTTTAATTGGTTCGCGTAAACTATCGCAATTCTCGTAATGTATTGAGTTTGTGTTTGATTTAGTTTCGGATGTGGATTCATGTCTCCCAGCACTGGTATCATTTTTAATAACCAAATGAATGATTTTTCTTCTCCGGAAGTTGTAAACAACTATGGAATTCCGTCTTCACCAGCCAATTTCATAGCACCAGGCAAACGACCAATGTCTTCAATGTGCCCGACTATAATTACCGACAAAAATGACAATCTTGTTCTTGCTATTGGAGGATCGGGTGGATCAAAAATCACTATTACGATTGCCTATGTATGAATTATTTTACTACTATATTAAAACATTATCCAGTTTTGGGGGTTTAAGATAATTTTAGATATCTTTTTCAATACCTTTCTCTTTAGAAATGTAATRGTCTTATAAATATAAGTACTCTGCAGTACTCTATTAATAAATATGATCAACAAGTTTTAAATATTTTAATTTCAATATTCAGACAGCAAAAATTTCGTACTAATATAATTGGCTTCGTATATTTTTCACACTGTTTTGTGAAATAGTTTTTTTGCTTAAATAATTATACTTACATGAGCATAGTAATCTTAAAATTCATAAATATTGAGGTCATTATTAACAGCTTTTATTTTCAAWAAATTTGTTCAAATATATTTATTCTTAACCATCAGACTTATTAATACCTTACACACAACTAAGCTAGCTATAATTATTTACGCTATTTTTGATATTTGAGTGTAAGTAGAAAAAACATTTATTTACTTTTTATTTTATCCAGGTTTTAGCCCTTAAATTGTGGTACAATATGACATTAAAAGAAGCGATAGACAAGCCTAGAATTTATCACCAACTTGTTCCTATGACAATTCTATATGAAGACGGCACGACAAAGGTGATTGTAGAAATATAATGCAATATAATGAGATTAAATAATATAGCGATACATCGATATTCAACAAAACATTTTGGCATTTTTTAACTATCTGTTTATTTATTTTAGGACGTTGTTCAAAAACTTAAAGATATTGGTCATCCTGTGATAAGATTAAATAATGTCGTTTCAGCAGCAACAGCTATTGAAAAATCAGCAGCAGGAATGATTGTAGCTATGCCAGATTTCCGTCGACCAGGAAATTCATGTGGATATTAATGCGATAAATTCTGACTAAATTAATTGATCTTATTTTAAAAACATTATTGTATATTTTGTAAGCTAGTTTAACAATTATTTTTTTGAAGCTTTTTATCTTGCTCAGTGCTTTCATTATTAAGTTTGTTTTTGTATTCAAATAGTATAATATAATATTTTAGGTTATTTTATATATAGCCTGTATTATAATAAAACAAAGTAATAATATACAGTCCTGCTATTTTGTTTTTAATGAAATATATAAATACTCTTAGTCATTATAAAAAAGACTAAAAATAATACAAATTATTTCTAAACATTGAAATTATAAAAATATGAACATTTTTCTATAACACACTTTTCTTGAGGTCGCTTTCACGTCTGTTTGTCTGTTTGTTTGTCTGTAATCAAATCTTGCGCGCTCGATTTGAGGCACTTTTTGACGATGAAAAATTCTGAAAATTGGTATAGACCTTGGTCTTGGATGAAAATAATCCGTTGTCGTTTTGGGACACGGACCTCCAGGTAGGCGATGACGGGTGTGCAAAGTCATCTCCGAGGAARTAAAGGTAGTGTTGCAGAGGAACTGACATCCCCCTACACGGATTCTGCAGTGGTACAGCAGAATAAGACTGTACAGCTCAAGCTGCAGATYCCCGTATAGCAACGTATTGTCCCCACGACGTCGCCGTAAAAACCCCGTTTCCACTGTGTGCTTCTGCAGTGATACAGCTTTTTTTCATAAATATTTTTTAAACGTTTAATAAAAAAATTTACTTTTAACTAAGAAGTAGAAAATAAAAAATAAATTTTTTTTTAAAACACACTTTTCTAAAAAAAACATTTAAAAAAAATTATATTTAAAAAAATAATGAAAAATTTAAAAGCGTGTGGTGCTCTTACACTTGAAATATACTCCCAGTCACTATCTTATAAACAGGATTGAACAAAGAAGTGTATGTGAGACTTAGCTCGGCTTTTAATGTTTAGTATGATGAACCACACACTTTTAAATTTTTCATCACTAAATTTTCCATTATTTTTTTTAGAAAAGTGTGTTTTAAAAAAAAATTTATTTTTTAATTAATCTCAAATAAACTTATGCACGTATAAGAATATTATGTGTATCGAAAAAAGTACTGAGATATTATATTATGATTTTCTGAATTTACTTAGTAGTRCAGTAGCGTGACTTCATTCATTATGTTCATTTAAATTTTCTTAAAAAAATCTATATTTTACTATTTTATAGTTTTGAAATCGGTATGATATTATTTTATGTTCAATCAGATTCAGATACTCTAAACTATATACATAAAATATTATGTACTTAAGCTGAATTTTAAAATTGTTCAAACGTATCAATTATTATATAAGTACAATGTTCATAAATAATTTCTCTTYCAAATGAGTAGTGTCAAATTTATATTCAAAGCTTTTAATTTTTTTTTTAAATTATCACGTAGGTACTAGCATTTCTATTTTTTTCATAAATAATTATTAAAAATATACGGTTTTTTCATATTRCTACTGAATAAGAATTAGTTCTAATATAGATCTATTGAATTTACTGGTGAGTGGTGGTCTGTCATTTCGTTCAACTAAATTATTAATGCTTAACATGTAAGTTCRGAATGGAATACAAAGTCATTAGGTAGTTAAAATGTCCGGCTTAAGAAGTTATTACATTTCATTGTTCAGTTTGACTAAATTATTTGGTTTCGTAAAACGACTAGTGTGTTTATTTAACATAACGACTTAAATCAGATGAGATCAGATAGGATTTTAATCGAAAAATTAGCGCACCTTCGATATAAAATCGGTATCGTTTAACAATTAACGGCAATTAAATTATGATAAAATATAGTTTTCGATTGTATACGATTTTTAAAATGTAGTTTTAAATATTAAAATATACAGTGTTAAAATATCCAGTATTGTCCATCGCCCACCAATAATAAARTAAATCGTTCAAATATATAATACCAAGATATACAAATTTACGATTATTAGGAAAGTACCTACCACCTGGTGAGTTAATTTTTATAAATATGTTTTTTTTTTTTAATTTTATATTAAATAATTAAGTTTATAAATTTATTTTAGGTTATTTTTCTTTTTTTCAGATGGAAATTGTAATTTTTTGGTCGTGAATTAAACTATATGATTTAGTATATTCATTATTCAATATACATATTGTACATACCANTATATGTATTAGATGATGCTACTATTATAGTTATAAGTAGCTATATTATCATTACAGTATATGATACATGAATACGTACACTTGAAGGTGCAATTTTAAAAGGTTCTTTTTTTCAGATGGAAATTGTAATTTTTTGGTCGTGAATTAAACTATATGATTTAGTATATTCATTATTCAATATACATATTGTACATACCACATATTATATTTTTCAGAATGCATTTTAGGTATGATTATTTTATTTCATAGTCTTAGAATACAATAGAAACTTTATACTCAATTAGAAATTACCCGGTCTGCTATTTAAAAATYATGGTTCTGTAATTAAAAAAAATTCCTTAAAATCAAATGCTAATATTTCGAATTAACTCAAAATATCTAAATTAATGATAAATTTAAAGAAAAAAATATAAATTGTGATAATTAATAAATAATAAGACTAACAATTAAATTGAAGAATAAAAATAATTATTAAAACGTATCAAATTGAACAAGTGTTTTAGAATTTTAGATAGTACCTTACTAGATATCATATGGTTTATTACAAACATAAGTTCTAGATCTACTGCAGCTTATTGTTAAACATATTTTATTCTACAAGTGTCAATATAAAATATTCCTCGATGATTTTAAAACTAACTTCATTGATTGATTGATTACATTTTACAGTGTTAATATATGGAGAGGAGTAAAAAATTTAAAMATKTATACAATTTAGTAAGTTACTTTCTGAATGAAAACTGTAAATAGGTATTCTCTAATCCAACAGTTCTTAACATTTGTGTGTTGGCGTTTCATTATATTTACTTAATTTTTCTTATCACCTTTTTGAAAATAATGTTTGATGGGGTGATACCAACCTGCCCCCCCTCGAAACTTTATTTTTTCAATTACCAAAATTCGATTTTTACGTATCAAAATACTTAGAAAAATATTCTGCTTTGGAATATGGAATTAAAACTCTA